ATGCCAGTATGGCTCAATCACAGATTTGTTGAGCCAGCTGAGCAAATGGTGGTCTCCCTGTGAATTGGAATTAATTGTGCTTAAGCACGGTACAGGACAACAAAAAACAAACAAAACAGGGCTTTAATTGCAGGACATATGCTACATTGCATCACTACCACAATATGTCTCAACACAAACGTTTACAGAAAGGTAAGTAGTGGGCTGTAAAACCTTTGTCCAGGAACTCTATCTAATCGGGCAAGGTAATCAAAAAAAGGCTGCCAGATGCTGGAAAATATTTTAAAATTGCCCATCATGCCATAGCAGATTTTCTCCATGTGCAGTCCACAAGTGAGGTCAGTTAGCCAGGTCTTGGACTAAGGCACAGTGTCTGGCAGACTTTGTTATCACTCTCTTAGCAATTACCATTCCATACATCTCTGCAAAGAGAGACTGATTATGTAAGAATGGAGAGTACCCAAATAACGCTATCTGAGGGTCCGGTTTAAACACACAGCGATATATTCTAGAAAACCAGTTAAATATCTCACATCAAAAATGATACAGCCTTGGACATATCCATATTTATGATTTGTGAAGTGTGCAGTCACAGTTGTTAGTGGTGCAGCGGTTATTCGTGCTCAATCACCACTTGTGTACGCCAATAAAGGACATCAGAGTGGATTATGGGAACGAAGTATGGGACATTGTAATGAGGCTTGAGGTCTTGTTGAAGCCTGGTCATATGCGCCAGATGCTTAAAAATATATTAGCTTCAGTAATGTCTTTGACCCTCTCTGCTTTCCCATTTAGTGGCTTTTAAAACAGTGTGGCTACAATTGTTTGGAGGCTTGTCCTTCTTTTGCCTATCTCTGTGATTGGCACCTTTGGGTGATGCCATATGATATGAATTCAATTATTCCATGTGTTCGACTGCACTGTGAACCCCACGTTTCCCCACACAACTGATTTAAAGAAGCAGGCGGTTCTTCTAGATTAGCGGAGTCATATTACTCTCCTTCCTCATGTGTTTTGTTTTGTCTGCCTCATCTTCTTCACTTGTTGTTTAAAGGAGCTTAGCGTACGAGCATTAGTGCCGCCTGGATTTGGGGTGTGAATACGGCCATGTGTGATTACCTTTTCTATGCACTCAGGCATATTTGTTGTATGATTGCATGCACTTAACCATGAAGTCTGTACAAATGAAAATACGGTTACAGGCCTAATTTGAACTGTTTGCAACAAGTAACATTTCCAGTAGCGTGTGTGTTGTTACAATACGGCAGATTCCATAGTTCACTACAAAATGTCATGTCAACCAACTGGAGGCAGCAAAACCTAAAAAAACATAGAGCAGCAGCTTTTTCACACTTGCACAAGAGGAGAAACTCTTGAACTTTTTACAGGCAACTAAACATTTGTCAAAGTAGAGAATTTATCACCAAATCTTTGGACAGCAGTGGATGATCTTGGATATTCTTGGTATTGAAGTATTCATTAAAAAATGGATTTGACTGTATACTTAAAAGGTACCTGTATGTCATCCAACAAAGTTCAGTTTTTTACATTTAATTTTCCAATGTGTCTCACCAATTTTTCATCTTCTCAATCATATGATTACTTGGTAGCAGTTTCCTTCTTCCCTGCTGATGTTGTTGTTGTTGTATTGTCATGATTTATGGTGTATTACACCAAACATTGGCACCATCAATCCTTTCATCCACACACTCGTCCGGTGAAAGAACAACACGAAAAACCCACGAACCAGCTCATAAAACATTACTTTAGAGTGGCTTACCAGTGGCTGAAAAATCAATCAAAGAAAACATTGAAATATGTAAAAGCAAAAAAGATTCTCAGAGGTTATATATTGTGGACACCATTTTTCTATAAAAGGTCACACTTTGTGGTTTGGATGTTGAAGCTAATTGGCTGAGTGACATCATGTCAGTGAACTCTCACAGCTCAGAGAGGAAATTAAAAAGAGATAGTTGGAAATCAAAAGAATTCATGACAAGCAATGTGTCGCTGTGTCACGTCAAAGCCCAGGTACCAGCAGAACTCAGTTTTAAAACGAGCGACTGACCTTTTTAATTGGAATCTGTCCTGTCAGTACTGTTATTCTTCAAGGGCAAGAAGCTCTGCTAACAGATACATCCAGCTTTCTGTTCCTAATATCAGACAGCACGGAAATATATAAATCTGGTAAAGTAATGCTGCAATTTTATCATTGTTGAATTGAATGTTAAAGGTGGTCAGTTCTGCTAATTGCTTAAAACCATAGGGATTTCACTTTTAACTTATACAATGTTGCCTCATAAAACTTTTCTTTTCTCAAACGCTTGATAAGAATGGATTTATTTATTGTATTGGACATGTGTCTGATATACCTTCATAATTTAATTCAGGAAGAGGACTATCACTTTCTATCAGCCACAGACTAACATTTCCATGTCTTAAGTAGTACTTATTAAAGAGGCCTTAAAAAGAATATTGGCTGTTGTACATTATGACGAGGACCATCTATTCCTTAAAACATCTTTGCATTGTCGGACAAAGCCCCACAGGGTGTAGCACAGCATAGCATAGCAACAACTAATCCTGAACAGCTTCCCTCAGGTGGTTCCAAACAGACAGCACAGCAGAGGTGGGGGCCAAGGGGCACAAATCTGAGGATTTAAGACTTTCTCAACTAACATTAAAACACTCAATCACACTTCGACTTTGTATACATGCCTTTAGATCAAATATTTATTTTTTTCTAGAGTTTGAATTGTTAATCGCTTTTGTAATTTATTTATTCAACTTAATCATTTCAACGCTGTCTAATTCATAATACCCACACAATGGAGTAAATGCACACATAACTGCGCTACAGAGCAAACCTGTTGTTGTTTTTTGCTGGTGCTGGTTAAGCTTATTTCAATGAGTCTTTACGCAGTAATTTGGAGAAAAACTGGCCCCTTACTATGCAAATTGGCCTCATTCCAAAAAGCTTCTAATTCACAAACATCAGCACTAACAGTCACACGCAGTTAGAGTGGAAAAATGACCATGTGTTGAAACCGGGTGGTAACTGCGCCACAGTGTTTATAAGAGATGTCATGTGCAGATTTTCCTGTGATCAGGAAGACAATACAGCCTCTATGTGACTTGAAAATGAATTATCTGTTAAAAAAAAAAAAAAAAAAATCTGTAAATATGACTTTGAGATGACTATTAATAATGCATTCAGAGGTTATATAACCCCGGCTGTTACTGTAGCAACATGATACTAAACCACATGTGTGGAGAGGTTAGGTATGATGAGGCTGCAGTGTTTTTTCTTTAAGTTGCCATTGCTTGTTCCATTCAGGGAAAAAGCAATGTTTTAAACGATGAAACTCCTTTTTAATTTTTCCAGTCTGGCCACACAATAAACTTGAAAAAAAGTTTCACCCCCGCCTTTTAGCTCATTATCTAGCAGATACATGTGGCCACTAAAGATCTCCATCAGCATGAGGGAGTGGCACCCCGTACAGGATGGAGGTGACTAAGTCTTCTCTCCACATTCAGATGCAAAACAGGAGCAAGCTGCAAACTGTTGCCGTGTTTGCACTTGAATATCATTAGCACTACATGCTAAGTGAATTACACCTTGAGACGGAGCAGATAGCGGGAGCAAATGATGCACAATTTTCAGAGCTATTAGCTACTGCAAACGATTCTAAGTGAATAAAGCCCCCAGTGTTCAACAGCATCCCTACTTACAAGATTACAATTATACACTGCATGCTTTATTTTTGCAATGTATTGTGATACAGGCAACAAATGTTTGGTTTTTTAGAATTATGATCTGTTGATCATTTCTTTCGTCTGGCTATCCAGCACTTACCATTTGTCTCACGATCAGTTAGCACAGGGTGACAGCAGTACTCCCCGGAGACTACCAAATGTTTAATATCCTGCGTCCTGCTTCCTGTTTGGTACTTGAGAATAACCCCTATTTTGTTGATAATGTCATGAATGAATGGATTCAATGAATCATTGAACTCTTTTTCTGCAAGAGCACAAACTGAAAACTCACAAAAGTATAAAGCATGTTAGAACACAAATGTTCACTTGGACTTCACCCAGAGTTTCTCCTGTCAACCTCCTAGTATTTTTTCCACATCAACTAAATGTAGCATTGATATAAAGGCAAATATTCACGTCTCGTCTTATCACATGAGACCCCCCCCCTCCTCTGACAGGGAAAGTCCCCCGCTGTGAGGTGCATATGTGAACAGCCAGGTCAGGAGAATATCCGGAGCAGTCCTCCTGAATATCTTGATTTTTTGAGGAGTGTATTTGTGAAAACAACTTTAATGAAATTGCTTTAATAGTTTTTTCTTGAATAAGACTGGGATGTGCACTGCAGCCTGTAGAAATCCACACAGAAATAGAAAAGGACGAAGGAAAAATAATCAATGCTTAGTTGACTGTACAGTATGATGTTGAAAAGGATTTTTTTTTTCTTTGCTTTTTTTCCCTGAAAGAAGTAAAAATGTCCTTAACCAAAGAACAAAAAATTATGCCCTTCTGGGTTAAAACAGAACTTCATCATTACCATCTTTCATGGGTACAAGGATTCAAAGGTAGATGCTTTTAAGACCAAAAGGCCTGAGAGAATGTATTCTCCATCCGAGAACACAGAGACAAAGCAGCACTCCAGAGCAATCTTATAGAGAGGGAGTTTTGTGCTGAGAAGCATCTTTGATTACTCAGCTTAAAGAAAAGAAGCTATTACCACCAAAATCATCTTCAGGGCCTCGCAACAGCCTGGACAGAGATAACAAGAGAGCGAGGCAAGAGAGAGGAAGAGGGAATCATGGCCTCTATATATTCCCAGCAGATCACAAACACAGCTAAGGATGTGTCAGGGGTTAAATGTGACCAAATGTATCACACAGCAATTACTTTATAGATAAAAAGCAGAGTGAACAGCTAGGATATGGGGCAGAGAAAGGGTGAAGGGGAGGGGGGAATGTGGGACCGACCTGTTTCCTGGAGGAGAGCGCACTCTTTGGCCGGCCTGGGCGACCTCCCTTTCCTGCTTCAGAGGCTTCCCGGCAGCTCCGCCGCAGTGTGGTGGCTCTGGTGTCAGGCTGGTTGGGCAGAGGGCTGCACGGACATGGTTAACAGGTTAGAGTGATCATTCCTAAGGGGAACAACAGGCACTGGCTGCTGGGTACTTTTGGTTTGTCGATTCACCCTTCATTCAAGTGCTCCTGTGCAAAAGTCTAATGTGGAAACAGCAGCCATACTACAGAGAGGTGTGTTGTTTTCTTTTTCTCAGTTCTGAGCTTGGTCTCTCTTCACGGTTGAGCAATTCACACTTAAAATCATAGACTGTATAAAGTTGTTCCCCAAAAGTGAAGCTAAACTATTTGGAGCTCCCATTATTGACTGGCTGCAATATACTGTAAATCATGTGGTCTGGCTCCACCATGTTAACAGATGGGACAAGAGAGAAAAGATTCAAACTATAAAATCTAAATAAATGTCTAATATTTTTTTAAAACATGGTTTCTGTCATTATAGTTTGTTTTTACAATTATTGAGTATTCTTGTTTTTCTGAGAACTTAAGAAGTTAAGTAAGAATTTGTTATTTGATGTTGAAAAAAGGGATAAGAGGTCTTGGTTGAAATCTGTTGACAAAAGCAGATACTGCGGTGGTGTTTGCACCATATTAGCAGAGTGGAAGTTGAACAGGGAGAGGAAACCTGAAAAACACAAGGAGTTGAACTTTCCATGAGCGTGACTGTCTACTTCAAACCGGCACAAGAATTTGTTCTGCCGTGCACTGTGTTGGTTTTATCAGTAAGTTAAAGGTCACATATTATACTCATTTTCATAAGTCTAAATAAGTCTCAGAGGTCCCCAAAATATTTCTTTGAAGTTTCTTGCCAGAAATCCACTCTGATCCTGTATTTGATCATGCCTATAACCCCCTCTATTTCAGCCCTGTTCAGAACAGACTGTTTCTGTGTCTAAAGCTTTAAATTTAAGTGAGCCGTGTTCGACTACAACCCTTTGGAAGGCCTTGGATGGCTTCGGCTTTCTTGCACCGTGCCGTATTGTTTACAGTAAAAGGGCAGACTCAGAGGACAGAACAAACACCTAGCTGTGGGAGTGTCACCCACCTGGGGGAGGGATTACTGCCCTTTGTGATGTCATGAAGAGAAGATCTCCTAACAGCCTGTTTGAGCTCACATTTTCTGAAAAGTGGAGCAGGCAAAAGACGAAGAGGATGGACTTTTCTCATAATTGGGGGGTTTGTTGACAAGCTAGGGACACATATTGGTTTCAGAAACAATATTAAAATGTATTTTGCATGACATGTGACCTTTAAGTGTGTTGTTCAGAAGGGAGAGGGAGTCAAATCCCGGCTAGAGTCTCCGCAACTCTGACTCCAAATGATGTCACAAGCACAATATGTCAGTGATATTTTTGGCTTTACCCCTTGTGCCATGAGAGGAGGCAGAGACGCATCGTCCATCTTCATATACAGTCAATGCTTACAACCAAATGCCTACTGTAATACAAATTACTCATGAGCTAAAAGTCTATGCAATTCATGCAGTAATAAAAGATATTCAAAAGCTAGTTCTGACCGAGTAATCTGGCTTGACAGGGTCACTAATACAGAGTCAAAAATTGCTGGGACTTTTTTGAGTTTCACTCCTCCTCAGCTAGTATGATACTGCTTAAGTTTATTCAAATCAACCCAACTTTACCTTCACCAGCCTGCAAAAATATATATCATCTCAAGCTGTGTACAAAGATTTTCCCTGATATTCAATGTTGTTTAGAGTTTTAAAAAAACATTCATGCAAATGTTCCCAGTTGGGAACTTTTAGATTATTCAGGCACCACATGAATGCAGGGACACTTCAAGTGTTAAGAGGTGGTTGGATTAACATTTGCTTCAGGGTTCTTTCCAGTTAAGAAAAGAAACCCTGCACTAATGAAATGCTGAAAAAAAAGTGGAACATTAACTGTTACAAGAGCTTGATATTAATATTCAATGTCAGTTTGTAATATATTTTAACTACAACTTTGTCAGGATTTCTCTTGTTTAATCCAAACAATTCAGTGACAGCGTTGAGGACCTGTGGAACAACCTGTGGCGGCACCACAACTTGAACAGAAAATCAATTAAACAGCACAAAATCCATTCCTCTGTTTTCTGCCTGAGGCTTTTTGAATAAAAGATGAAGAATTGGAGCCCATGATGTGATGTCAGGCATTCATAAATATGCTTTCCAAAATTCAAAACTAATTCCCAATCAAAACATGGTTATTAAAGGAAATGTCAAAAGCAACCAGAACCATATATTTATTTTATTTCTGTTATTAATATGCTGGAGTAGACATTCATAAGCACAACAGCTGCCTGCCACTTTTGACCCAAAACAAAAAGCTGCAAGATCTCAAAGAGCTAGGTTGGGGGGGAGACATATACCGGCACTGTCGCTTATGGGTGAGACAAAACCAATAAATATAACTCAGATAAAAGGAAGTATGACTACTGAAAACAACTGAGCATCTACATTAACTATAAGTTAGAAGTGGACATTTTAACTGTGACATCAGTTTGGTTTGTTAACAGGCATTTTCAAGCCTTGAGTTCAGTGTTGTGACTGTCACCATAGTTTTTTTTTTTTCAAACCAGAAGGGACCTTAATTGGATGAGTGGATGGCGCTGCCTGACTAGTGAGGGATTGAAAAATGATCGCTCTTTTCAGGCTGCTTTTTTGAAAAAGTGCTGTAACTATAAGCTCAGCCGTCATCATGTCTTTGTACATTCATATTGATTCCATGACTTTGTATTATTGGTGTCCCTGTCTGTGAATTCACATTGCGTTTCGAAGTTGTGGAAGCACGCCACAGCCGGAACCCCACATAGACACAGTCAGACACGCACACACATTCTGTGTTGCTGCACTCCCCTGCTGGTTCCTCCGAAACTGTCTCGCCTCTATAGAGCCTTTGTTACCTCTGAAGACGGTACAAAGATGGGATCACTTTGTCCCCCCATAATGCCTCTGCGACATACAGATGTAGGCGAAACGTCACAGGGGTGTGACTATCACTGCTCGAAACAGTAGTCAGAATGGGGCTAAAATGTTTTCAAGGGTAAACAGTTTCTCTTCTTCCTCCAAAGGCTAGTTCAAGGGACTAGAGTTAGCTGAGTTCTGAGACTCCCGGCAGCCTGGGCCACGTCCAAAATAATGTGTAACTTCAAATCTATAAACAGATGAGATGAGTTAATTCCCCATTTGTAGAGTTGTCATGAATAAGAAAGACATCTACTGTCAATGTTGACATTTTAACACGAGGCTCGATGAGAAAAAAACACTTTTAGAGTAAGTCTCAAATGGTTATTTATTTTGAGTATTTCTGTTTGATTTAATGTCATGTTGGGTATCCTTTATGGCACTGCATCCCTTTTTCTCCATCTAATGGACAGAGGGTGCTTTATCATGTGTTTTTTTTCTCTACAAAAGGCCTATCCAAAAAGCCACTTCTTGCCTCCCAGTCTTGAAAGTATGACATTTCAAAGACCTTACTTGAGGTAGAGGATCCGTGCGATGAGGCCGTACAGCACAATTGCAAGAAGCAGCGGGATGACGTAGAAAATGGCAAAGTCGATGAGGTAGATCGGCAGGTAGAGCTCGCGTTTCACTTTGTAGCCACACTGCACATGTCCATCCTGGCTGACCTGAATGACACAGTTAGCACAGAGAGACTGCGGTAACACATGCTCGCAGGCTAACACAGAACAATCTTTCACATCTGAACTACTACTACTACTACCCAAAAAGCTACAGAATTCTCAAACCCTTCTTTATTGCCCACAATTTATTTATTTATTTCTCTATTTATGACACGTAATTTGATGACATTATGCAATCCCTTCAGTTTTGAGTCATAGCCACGTAATAAAAAAAACAAACCTTTATTCTTTTCTATCTATTTGCAGCCCTCAGCAAGACAACAGCCGAAAAAAGGAAATCCAGAAGATAATTGTCTAACCTGAATGTCCACAAGGAAAAACCACAGCATGCAGTAGATGCAGGTGAAGATCCAAACCCCAGCAATGATCCGCTTGGCCCTGGAAACCGTACACACTGTCTGAGCCTTCATTGGATGGCAGATAGCTATGTACCTGCATGCAAAAAGGAAATGAAGGTTCAACAACATTGTTTGACCATACAAAGTAATAATGTAACTGAAAAGAAACATGAGTTTGACATTTTGCTGACATGACTGAGGGCCTCCTCTTGCCTCCTCTTGCTAAGCTGAAGCAGGGCATCACATTTATTGTAGTTGTGTTAAAACTGTTTTGGAGGACATTAATGTATTCATCCCAGCAGTAAGTAGGATAATTGAAAATATTTTGAGTCAGTTCGTCATATTATTACTCCTGGTTGTACAAGGGATTTATTTTTAATCCCTGTTTGGTTTAAATAACCTGTCTTTTGCTTTGTTCATAAGAGGGGACAATTATTCAATACATTACAGTAATATTAATAAAGCAAATTGCATGCACAGATATCAATGCTGCTGCACATTCGACGATTCATGAAACGGGGAACAAACAGCGGTGTGCCCCCATTGCAATTTTTACAACCACCAGAAGGCATTATCGGTTGAACATGAGTTGTGTTTGCTTAAATTGCTGATTTGGTTCAGGAAGGGCAGTCTCCTGAGGTCACCAATGGGGCTGTAAATGTAAGATACTGTAGATGTCTAAATCCTAACTTTTAAACAAATACTTCTGGTTGTCTCATTTCAATATAGCTTCAACTAATTGGCTATGGTCCCTGCAAAAATGAATCAAATCGGATGAGTGGACATCACTGACCCCAGACATTATTAATCCAAGGTTAACAGTGTATTTTATGTAACGTCATGCTGATTTGCTCCCGAACCCTGGACAAAAATACAGAACAAGACCTGATATGCAATACACTGAATGTCTTCATATGACCTTTTTTTTTTTTTACACATAATGAAGCTCATTATTACTCTTTCCTGCTCACCAGCATGTTCTTTTCCACTCTTTCATTAATACTGTGAACATAAAGATTCATTGCTATAAATACAAAAACTGTCATAATGTTACATCTGGTGCTCTTTCTACCATCTTAGATATGTTGCCAACATTACACTCTTACTCTGCAACTTGCTTTTTACGTCAGAGGTGAATATGTGAAAGGAGCTTATGAGGATATTTTGTGAGAGTTAATATTCAATTGGAACCTATACCTAACCTCCCATCCTTGCATTTGAAACAGATTAGGCTCTAAACAAACTATCTTTCCATTCTCACATCCCAAGCCCAATCTCAAACTTCCTGTCTCCTGCCGTGTCTAACTTTTTCCAGACTACGTTCCTTTCTCTTGCTTCTTTCTCCTGATCCATCTGCCTTCTTCTACCTCTCTACTGGACGCCCTCAGACTTTACCCCCTTTCTCCAGCTAGACACCTGTCCCATGTCCTACTCAACGTAGCAGTTAGCTGAAACCTTACCCATCAGCTTCACCCAACATAAACAAGACCATTTACTTTGCTTAAAGCCAGTTCCTCCTCTCTGTTAAGCTTAATACAGTTGGTTTTTGGTTCTTATGATTTTGATAATTTGATAACCTGCCTGTTTCTTCACTTTTATGTTATTCAGACCAATGTGCCTGCCTACCTTCTCCTCTGTTTCCTGTTAGCGTTTACCTGCATGCCAACATGCCAAATCACGCCTGTTAGCTTTTGTTTGGATGGTCTGCTTTTGGGTCCTTTGCACCTGCCTATTTTCTCACCTTTAAAAATATAATTACATTTTTGCATCCCTCAGAATATATTGTTTTATAGATCTGATCTTTGTTTCATATAAATCTTGTTTTCTTAAGGTTAGTTTACAGCAGTCATATGACGATTATATTATTTTTAGCATCTGTGACATCTCCCTGTAACCCCTCTGTGTTTGTCTTGGATATGTGATGGATGGATCTGTGAGCTTGTATACTATTATATCATCCCAGAACAATTTGTTCAGTATAAAGTAAAGGCATTCCAATAAATGCCAATAACCGCTTAGTATAGGAACAGTAAAAGATCATTGTTTGTTTATCCTCACCTCTCCACAGTGAAGGCAGTGATGGAGCAGGAGGACACATTGATGCCAAGGTACTGAAGATAGGTGATCCCCAGGCAGCCGGCGTGGCCAAACACCCAAGTCCCCATCAGACTGTCCGCCACGTTAGGCAGTCCCGCCGCCACCAGCACAGTCAGGTCTGCTATAGCAAGGCTAACCAGATAACAGTTGGTGGGAGTCCTCATGTGGCGCGTTGTAAGCACCACAAGGACCACCATGATGTTTCCCACAATGCCGACACCACACACAAGCAAGACCAGGAACACTGACACCGTCTTGTATTCCAACGAGTCAGAGACGGAGATGCCGGGACTCAGAGAGATGTTTGTTGGGGTGTCCATTCTGGAGCTTGAGTTTTCAGTCATGTCTGTTAATAAATGGCCTAATTATTCCCCTACAGTCCGTTAATCAAAGATTATGTTCTTCATTTTGAGCATTAACTCCCACTCAAAGTCAGGTTTGTCTGAGTCAGTCACTACAGAGGAAGAAACGGTTGTTAATTTTGCTCACTATGAGTTATTTCCTTTAATGATTCAAATTCACTGACTTCTTTTTATCTCATGTAGAAAAGTAATAAAGAAAAGCATGTTGAATATAATCACCCCAGGACATCCAGCCACCACCTTTGAGTCACCTATAGAAAAAGAAAATGAGTTCAATTAATTGGATGAACTGGGGTTTAATGAACAAAACAACCTTTGGGTAGGCTTTGGACTTTCATATACCAGAGTCAAAGAGGTTAACACATGCAGTTTATTTCTGTTAATCCCACAGGTTTCTGCAAGATGGTGGTTTAAAATTGCACACAATTGACGCTACTGGTAAAAAATTGGGCTGCAATTGGAGAAATTATGCAAAGCAGTGATCAGCACTAAGTGAATTTACCCAGAAGTACTTTTGAAAATGAGACATCATTAACATATTTGACCTTTTCTTGTGATGGGGGTTCAAAAGTGAAGCTTATTGTGAATGCAAATGTTTCATGATGGCCTTAACTGTATCAAGAGGCCTGGATACTAGTAAGAGAAGTGTTCTAGTTTCTGTTTGTAGTCTTAGAATATAGAGCAATCAAAAACCAGCCAGCTTTACAATCCCATGTCATCAGTGACATCCCATCTCCCATTAGTAGTGATCGATGTATTTATTCCTGAAACAAATATCTGCATGCAAGTGCAGCTAATGATTCGTTCTTGATCAAAAAATGTCAACAATAAGATGTTATTTTGGCAAACTAAAGAGTCGTTAATGCTGGGTTTATTTCAGATTCATATAGACTAGCCGAAGTATTAGGCCAGATTGAAGCCCCTGTGTGACTCAGACTAACAGACACTGAGACAGAAACAGAAGACTCCAGAGGATATAATGAACCCATGGGAGGCGGGGGGAGGACAGTGAACCACGCTGCCGGCGCTCCAGTCGGATTTTATGTTACAGCTGATATGGAAGCTTTAACATGCATTAACATAACGCTGCTATTTTTAGATGTATCACTCAAAGCTTCCCCTCAAACTCTCAAAGTAGACGACACACAGAATGACTGTGAGCCAGACCCAAGCTCTGTGGTCCATAATAAAGTAACCCACCAAAAAAGGTTATTTTCTAGGGAACTCATTAAGCCAAATAACGTTCTCCTGTTCGCCTGCATGCCTCAGATTGAGAGCCAGAGCCGAAACAGTGCCTGGGGAAGCCTTATAAGATGTGATGTGTATAGACATTGATGATCAAAAATTCTAAATGAGCCATTTTGGTGCATCTGAGCATGCATTATATATCAAATAACTACTAATACTGCACTCAGGGCACCCAAAGACTCTTGATGAGTGCATTAAGATCATTTTAGTATAATATTTTGACAAAACACAAGCATTGAATTATGGTTTATTTCCTCTCATAATGCACTAATGATGCCTCCTAGAGTATTTCTGTTAAAGTTACAGCCAAATTCCTCAAATGATGAACAGAGAAGGGATTTTCTGATTATAGCCATTTGCTGAACCTAACTGCTTGCAAATATTCTGAGACTTTAAGAGGGCAATATTCAACATTTTTAGATTCTAAAGAATCCTGAAGGTTTTTTGTCTCAGGTTTCCCGTTCTGCTGGAACCTAATTAACCAGCGAGCAGGCTTGTGAAGCTCTGCAAGGCGTCTGTTGCTCTTTTCTCTCATCATTCCTCCTGAGGGCTGCCTCTAACAAATTGAGGTGGATGTGAAATGAAAAGTGACTTAATTCCATTTTATGCTACCAGTCAGGCTGCATCCATTTTCCTTTCCATTTCACAACCATCCATCTATCCAGCAGAGCTGATATTCTGCACACTTCTGACAATCAATCAAGCTTCACTGAGTGAGCGAAGAACACTGTTTGGTTTAAGAGCTTCCTGTTCAACTGCTGTTAACATTACTAGATTCAGTCGACCCGTTCCAATCAAGGAGACCCCAGGTGACTTATGTATATTATGAACAATTTTTCAGAATCTTTGCAATGTTTTTTGCTTCATCCCTGCACGTGGTACAGTGTAGAAGCAACAGCATGAAATGTACACTTTGCAAAACAAGTCTCAAAAGGAGGTCATTGAAAGACATTGTTTGCAAGGTTTTTGCTGGGAGATGAATTATCAGAAGCACTGACTAAAGCATCCATCCATTATCTTCACCGCTTTTTTCCTTTCGGGTCGCAGGGGGGCTGGAGCCGACCACAGCTGTCATTGGACGAGAGGCGGGGTGCACCCTGGACTGTCAATGACAGTGCTGACATATAGAGACAGACAACCAGCCACACTCATAGTCACACATATGGGCAATTTAGAGTCACCAATTGACCTAACCGGCATGTCTTTGGCTTGTGGGAGGAAGCCGGAGCAACCGGAGAGAACCAACGCATGCACAGAGAGAACATGCAAACTCCGCACAGAGAGGGAGAGGGAATCGAACCGGGAACCTGCTTGCTGTGAGGCAACAGTGTTAGCCCTCCCACCACCGTGCAGCCTGACTAAAGCATGCTTATGTTTAAAATCAGTATCTGTCTGACACTCGGGGCTTTGGGGGATGCTAGCTGAGCATTGTGAGCAGCCTCTGATTTTTGTTTAATGACTGAATTAAATTCTTCCATTCAAATGAACAGTCAACAACAACAGTGTTATTACCAAGAAAACATACACTTAGCAGGAAATATCAAGTTGAGATATTGTCCCTTGACTGTAGCTTCATATTTAACACACATTGGAGGGGTGTATATACAAATATATACAAACATTAAGGTTATGTGTTACAGGAGACATCTTATATGTTTACATAGTGATGTCACAGCAAAACTGGTGCAACTTAGAAAAGCTGTTCTTTTGTTGCATCATCAAAATTCACTGTATCAGCTTTCAGAGTGCTGATTAGTGAATATATTATCATATTATCCCCCTTTTCCACCTTTTCAAACAGTCCCCTGTGCTCTAAATGTAACATCTCTGTGTGCTTTGGTCAAAATATAACATGAATCAAGCACCAGGGGAGGTTTGTGACCCTGTATAAACCAGCTCTCTCAGAACGCTCCATTTTAGTGTAAGTGTCTCTTTAAATGCAATGAGCACCCCCCATCTGTATCATATCAGCCTCTATTCTCCATTATCTGACAGGTTTTATTTCCTACAGACAGAGTTTGGTTTGGTTTAGAGACTGGGGATGGAACTTAATAAGAAAGACTGACTTCTTTGCTTAAATACAGTAGATACTTTTCTGTGTATAACATTGACTGACCACTTGTCATATACTGTATACTAGCAGATTACCAAACATCTCTCTCAGCATAAAGATAATCTTGTCAGGCATGGCTTATTTTGGGAAAGCCTACCGTATTTCTTCTACTTCAAAATTTAAACTGTGGCTGAGTTAATGACATACATGTCTCATCTCTTGTCTCAGCTACCCAAGTTCAAGCTTATGCTCTTTATGTTGAAGTCCTCAGCAGCATTTAGTGAATCACTTCACATCTTAAATGAGCCCTGCAGCTTCTTATAATTACACTATTTCCTGCCTTAGTAAAATGGTTCTTCCTCTCCAGACACAGAAATCAAGCATGGGAATTGATCTTTCAGAGGTAAAACTGAGGTCATCAGACACACAGGGAAAGTGTTGGAAGTGAAAGAGACAGGCACTAAGCCTATAACTGCTTCACTGCACAGTGGCCAGTAGTAATCAGCAGTACAGCATCAGTGACTTATAGGTGACGGCTGAAAACAAGGTAGCTGTCAATATGCGACTTATCTCCATGTTGCTCTATTTTCCTATTTATTTATTTAAAGCATATAAAAATAACAAGATCAAATATATTGGCTAACTTTCTGCAAAGATTTGATTTATAAACACGTTCTCCTAAAATAAAGGTGTAGGATGAAGAATAGGCTATCTAGTACTCCATTATTCCTTTTGAGATTTAATCAAAGTGAAGGATGAAGCATTTTTAATATCACTAAAGAAGACAGAAGACCACAAAAGCAACAAAAACTTAACGTCAAAAATAATGAGGAAAAAGGGAATATATCAAGATGCCAAAAATGGTGTGCACATAATGCAATTGGAATAGAGGTGTCTAACATACTGCTATACTAAGAAATCAATAATGATAAAAATTGATGTTATTTATATATAACCTATAATTATTATCATAAATTGCATATAAATCAAATTTCATACAAGAAACTTTGTTCAAATTGCTTTAATAGCCCACATAAAGGGGATCGTGATTTTAAATGTAATAAAACATTGGAATAAATTGTAAAGCAAAGTATAATAAACAAAACCTCTGATACAAATAAAATAACACTTACATCTTACACTTTCAAACAGAGAACCACCAAATCAGATATTACATTGTCCTTCTCTCATTTATTCATCGATTTGTTGAGTCTAACACGTTAAATGGATTGATGTTACAACTGTGATGATCAGCATGATTCGGTCAATCACAGCAATACAGAGACGCGCTCACTAAACACAGGGTAAACTTCTCATCATTCTTTTTTCTATAGAAAAAAACAATAATTTACCTTTTACTTTCCAGTTTCTTCCAGTATCTCCTTAAAGTAGTTTTTCTCTGAACAAATAAAAATGTCTTTAGTTTTCCTCCGTGTACGTTCCGAGTCAGCAGCTGGTCTGCAGTCTACTGTCTTCAAGCTGCTCAGCACTGCGCTGTGTCACTACTACATACTGAGCTCCGTAACACACACACACACACACACACACACACACACACACACACACACACACACACACACACGCAAACACACACACACACACACTTCCACACACACACACACACACACACAAACACACTGGATTCCGTCACACTTCCACACAGGTACGATTAAAGTAGCAC